GGGGGACAGGCTGGAGCTGGCCACAAACCTGCCCAAGCAGTGAGGCCTCTTCAAAGACGCTGGGAATTTTCAACTAACCAGTGAAACCTGGGAGGCTGTGGCCTCGGAAGCAAATCCCACGTGGGTGCCTCTGGTCACTCAACCCTCACCCGCTTGGAGGCACCCCCCAACCCCTGCCTGCTTGGACAGGCTGTGAGGGCCTGGAACCCTGCCCCTGCTGTGCTCTGGGCTGAGCCTCTCTGCTGGGCACACGAACTTCCTGCCACTCTGCCCAGAGGCAGTCCATGGCTCTGCCCTCTAGAAGTTCCCAGGCCAGTGAGGCCAGCATGTGCCAGGCTTTTTCACTCTGTGCCAGTTTCAGAGATGCCTGGAGACTCAGACACTGCCCCACTCCTGGCTAGTTCTTAGTCTGATGTGGGAGGCACACATGGCCCTGACCCAGTCTGATGGAAGAGGCACAGATGGGCTTGATCTGGTCTCATGGGGGAGGAACAGATGGCCCTGACTTAGTCTAATGGTGGAGGAACAAATGAGGCCCTGATCTAATCTGATGGGAGAGGCACAGATGGCTCTGACTCAGTCTGATGGAAGAGGCACAGATGGCCCTGACCCTGTGTAATGGGAGAGGAACAGATGAGGCCCTAATCTGAGGGGAAAGGCACTGATGGCCCTGACCCAGTCTGATGGGGGAGGCACAGATGGCCCTGAGCCAGTATGATGGGGGAGGCACAGATGATCCTGATCTAGTTTGATGGGAGAGGTAGAGCTGACCCTGACCCTGTCTAGTGGTAGAGAAACAGATGAGGCCCTGATCGAATCTGAGGGGAAAGGCACAGATGGCCCTGACCCAGTCTGATGGGGGAGGCACAGATGGCCCTGAGCCAGTATGATGGGGAAGGCACAGATGACCCTGATCCAGTCTGATGGGGGAGGCACAGATGACCCTGATCCAGTTTGATGGGAGAAGCACAGATGACCCTGATCCCATCTGATGGGGAGGCATAGATAAGGCCCTGATATAATCTGATGGAGGAAGCGCAGATGGCCCTGACCCAGTCTGATGGAGGAGGAACAGATGGCACTGACCCAGTCTAATGGGGGAGGCACAGATGGTCCTGACCTAGTGTGATGGTGGAGGAACAAATGGCCCTGACCTAGTCTGATGGGGGAGGCACATGGCCCTGCCTGACCCAATCTGACTGGCAGGAGCACAGGGTGGCAGAAGGAGCAGGGGACTCTGGAGTCCACAGAGGTGGGTTTCAATCGTCCTTTCTCTTATCAGTGGGCTTTGGGCATGTAATGAAACCTCTCTCAGCCTGTTTTCTCTCTGATAAACTAAAACGACCACATCTACTCCATGGGTGCTCTGAGAGCTCCAGGGGATAAAATCTTAAAGCTGCAGGCATAGAGCACTCAGATTTGTTTGCAGCCCTGATTAATACACGTTTGTTAAAACCTTACCATGAATGGTATGTTATCTTAGCTGCTCCTGTGAGGTGTGTGTCAAGCACCATCTCTGTCCCCTTTCACCAATGACACGGTTGAGCACTGAAGAAAGGAAGGGGGCACCCTCGCGTCCACAGTGAACAAGGGGGACACGGTGACAGAGGGGGAAAGAGCACCAGGCAAGGGTGGCCAGGTCATCTGCTGTCATTCACGCAGCCTGTGAAGCCTTGGGCAAGACCCTTCCTCTCTGTGGGCTTCTGTTTCCCACTGGTGCAATGCGGGGGCTGCACATTCAATCCCATTGTGGGTATCAGATTCATTTCTTCTAATGACATCTCTCCCCAAGACTATGCTGTGAACGTGATAAAAGCAGAACTTCTCTGGCTTCGCTTCTGCCCCCCGAACCCCCTCCCTTGGCCCGTGGGCCCACCTAACCCCACTTCTGGCCGGGACAATCTCTCAGACCCCTCCAATGCCACTGCCCAAGCCCCAGCCTTTTGGCATCCATGTACAGAACTCTTTTTCTTCCACCCACGACGTCTTGTGCACAGCCTGGGTAACGCGTGAGCCCCAGAGTCATGCCCCCCTCCTTCCCGGGTCATGCAGCAGACTCAGCTGTGAGACCCTGGACAAGTCACTTAACTTCTCTGGGTCTCAGCTTTTCCGTCTGTAAAATAGGGAAGGGTTAAGCACAAAGTAAATGCTCAATCAGGGTCTCCATGTACAGTTGCACACGTTGTTCACAAAAATATATATGCGGTGCCCTTGTCTATGATTACAATGACCTGTTTCCCTCCTTGCTCTTGCTTCAAGTGAGCTCGGCCCTCGCTGTGCAGTGGAAGTTGGGGAAGAAGTTCCCCAGAGCTGTGCCTCTGTGCAGGGGCCGTGGGACTTGCCCCCATCCTCAGCCCCTGCCCAGCCTGGTGCCTGTTTCTGTGGGACCCTCTCCACTTGCCTCTCTCTCTGCCCCATATGTGCTGCTTATAGGCACGGACCCAGAGGAGACCATTCTCCACGCCTTCAAAGTGTTCGACACTGAAGGAAAAGGTTTTGTCAAGGCCGATGTGTAAGTTTCCCCCTGACTGCCTTGGGTTTTCCTGCCTGCAAAGGCTCAGGGGAATAAGCCAGCTC